AAACAAAAGACGGGTACTTATCCAAGGTGGGTTCCTGATTCATCTAGAACCCAATTCTGGACAATGCGCCAGGCCTGGATTTCTGCAGATGTCAAAGGGAAAGGACAGGTTGCTGGAACATAGCTCTGATACCCTTCCCCTTCCCTAGCACCCTGGCCTTCTGCTGGCACCAGCTAACATGGGCCAATGACAGCCCCTCCAGTGGCCAACGCCTGGGGCCTGGGCACACAGCGGGCACTCAAGTGCTTGAGGAATGAATAGAAATGAGTGCTTTTGATCACCATCTCTAAGGCAGCATTTCCACAATCTGGAAGATTCAGTCGCAGAGGGATGGTTGGTCTAGAAGCAAATTCTTTAGGTGTTTCCACTTTAAAACAATCCACACATCCAGGTGCTAAATAAATTAATAGTTAGCCACAAAGCGCCATTCCTTCCTCGTGCTTTGGAATCTGGGAGCCACCGGTCACAACACCACTTCATCTTCCAAAAGTTTCTTCACATTCAACTAGTTCATCTATCGTGTGCAGCAAGTCTCCAAAAGAAGGCCTTCCCTCTGCTTTCTACAATCGAAAGTCAAAGAGAAGCTGTGAGTTCCAGAATCCGTTCCAAAAAAGGTTCTCGTTGCTCACATTCATGTAACGCAGCAGACTACAGAGGGGCTTCGTTGCCTGGGGTTGGGATACACAGGCGTCTCTTAGGGGGTCTATCTCTACCCCAGTCTACCCTGCAGGCACTGACGCTAGACTAAGCTTTCGAAGACCCTGCTTTCACGTCCCTGTCCAAGAACCTCACGGAGCTCCTCACTGCCTGTGAAATCCAGTCCTGCGACTCCGTAGTGCCCTCTGTGACCCGCCCCTCCCCCACCCCCTTGTTACCCAATTTCACTTCCCACAAAACCCTCACATGTGCTCTCTGTTAAGTCAGACTAATCTCCACCCTCGTGTACATGTTTATAACCACCTCCTTACCTTGGCTCAGGCTCTTCTCTCTCCCCCAGCACCACTTCCTGCCCAGAAGGCGTCTGCCCACCCCATTCAGTGCTCTTGGGAGGCGTCACAGCAAGCGACTGAGAGTCAGACGGGCTATGCTGCTCTGTAGCTAACTGGCCTTGGGTAACCGTCAACTTCATAAGCCTTTATCTTCTCAGCTATGGAGAAGCCGTAGGAGAAGTATCTACACCTCAAAGGGTTATTTTGAGAACTAAATCTAAAGTGCTCAGTACCGTGTTTAGTACCCAATGCATGTGAGCTAATGTTATCGTCTTTCAAAAGTCATTTTAGGTCTGATCTCTTCTAGGAGGTGCCAGTTCAATATTTCCGAGGCTGTGAGTAAAAGCCCTTGGGAAGCTGAGGTTCAGAGAAAGAAGCCCTCCTGGTGAAAGAGGAAGACTTCAACTCCACAGGCGATCCCTGCAAGGAGAAGACGACTTCTCCCGGTTTATTCCCTGAGAACCTCACTCAGGCAACCACGGAAGGACTCTGCTTGGGATGAGGCAGCGGCTTGAATTATTTAAGTCAGTATTAGCATTTTCCACTTCTTCCCATTCTTCAGAACAGAGCTGAGAGCTTGAAATCACTACCGAATGAGCACCGCCTCAAGAGTTTATAAACACTGCACACTACCCATCTGCCACGCCCACTCCCTAAATGCTTTAGAGAGTCAAAAATAAAGCACAAAAAATATCTATACCTCCTGCCAACATCTCAGCATCACCTCATATACGTATGTGGATGCCAACTTCGGCTGGTAGAGTCGGTGGCCTCGAGTAACCATGGTTACCACTTCATAATTGGTGTATTTTTCAAAAGGCATTCTGCCTTCGGTAAACACTTCCCACATTAAAACGCCTGGAAAAAAAAAAATCAGGATTATCAAATGGATGTATCCACTTTCTATTAGGGGCAGACTTGAGGAAACACGGACCACCGATCTTACCAAACGACCAGACGTCAGATTTGCTGCTGAAGCGGCTGTAGTTAAACACTTCGGGTGGACACCACTTCACAGGAAATTTAGCACCGGAAGAACTTGTGTACTGATCATCCAGGACGTACCTAGAGCGAGACGCCATGTGTTTACACCTGTGAAGTACCCTCTGCATTTTGTAGACGGTCTTTCATCTTTTCCCCTTACAATCAAAACACAGTTGACTGAACCCGCACCTGCGTGAAGCTAAATGTTCACCTCACTGGCCACACCTGGTGATTTCCAACTTCTCAGCTTAATTTAAGTGCACGAAATGAATGCATTGTCACATTAGTATCTGCACTTTCGTTTTTCTGTTCCTCTTTCTTTTTTGTAAGACAATAGAGGCAGAATATAATAAAATAGTTCATAAACTTTTTTGTAAGCAATATTGCTCTTTAAACAAAATTTTAGCCCAAACCGTCATATGTAAAAAATTTAAAGCAGAACTGCTCTAAAGGAAGTGGTATAAAGCATCTAGAGACACATGTGCTTTTAGCCCCCACGATTCCACAGAGCACAACTTAAAACTACAGCAGGCCGGGCGCGGTGGCTCACGCCTGTAATCCTAGCACTCTGGGAGGCCGAGGCAGGAGGATCTCTTGAGCTCAGGAGTTCAAGACCAGCCTGAGCAAGAGCGAGACCCTGTCTCTACTAAAAAAATAGAAAGAAATTAACTGGACAGCTAAAACTATATAGAAAAAATTAGCCGGGCATGGTGGCACGTGCCTATAGTCCCAGCTACTCGGGAGGCTGAGGCAGAAGGATTGCTTGAGCCCAGGAGTGTGAGGTTGCTGTGAGCTAGGCTGATGCCATGACACTCTAGCCTGGGCAACAGAGTGAGACTCTGTCTCAAAAAAAATAAAATAAAACTATAGCATATGAGAAAAGCAAATGCAAAAAGAAAAGCAAAATGACATATGTCAGTGGTAGAGTATATATTGCTATACTACAACATCCCCACATCCGCAAGCTCAAAACATACTTATGTCCTTCTGGAAGGACATGCAGAAACTGGTAACAGTGGCTCCCTTTGTGGGAGAACCCTTGATGAGGCATAGTGGATATGAGGACTTCAGCCCTCTCTGTCATGTGCTCAGTATGCATTTACAAGAGGAATGTATTTATGTATTATATGTACATAAAAAGTTAATTTCTAAAAGCTGTCCTGAGAAAACATTCAAATGATTGTGCAAACTCCCTCTGCTGTATAGACAAAGATGTGGCGCAGCATGAATGCCAGCTGCTGGCTGGCAGACAATGCCACCATGGGCTGAATCCAGTTGTTGTTAGCCAGGGGAGTCTGCATTTAGTATATAGAGAGAGTTTTGAAGGACTGATACAAAAGCACAGATTTTCCAAAAGCCAAACATACAAAGTTTGACCAAATCAAAGTAGAGGACTGCCTGTCAGACACAGAATATCTTTATATAAAGCAAATAAAGAACACAAGGTAATTAATGTGCTGAGAGTGAGAAGTTTGGGTCTGATTTCTGACAGCAACAGCTTTCTAACCTCCCTGGGGGCCTGGGTTTTCTCAGGAGCTAAACTTGGCCCCTTATAGCCTGGTCCTTCCCTGCCTTATAGGTGCTCCTAGTGCTGTCTCGCAGCCGGCTGCCCCGGCCCTCCTTTGGTTCCTTGAGCAGGCCAGACTTATCCAGACTCCAGGCTTTTGCACTTGGGGTTTCTTCCACCTGGAATATCTTACCCCCAGATTTTCACTTACCTGGCTACACTTCCTGCCTTTTGGTCTCCATTCAAATATCCCCATCTCAAAGAGGGGATCTAAAGTGGCTACCATCACCCTGCCCGCCCCAAGTTGTCTCTATCACAGTGGTCGGCAAACCTTTTCTACAAAGGGCCAGACAACTCGTATTGTGGATTTCACAGGCTATACAGTCCCTGTGACAACTACTCGACTCGGCCTCTGTAGCAGGAAAGCAGTCACAGACAACATACAAATGAATGAACGAGGCTGCTTCTCAATGACGCTATTTTAATGGACGTCGACAATTGAATTTCACATAATTTTCACGTGTCATAATGTTCTTTTCATTTTTTTCAACCATTTAAAAATGCAAAACCCATTGTTGGCTCACAGACCATATAAAAAGAGGTGTATGACAGATTGACAGACCACAGTTTACCAACCCCTACTCTAGCACACAACTTTATTCTCAGGTGTTAACGTTTCTCACTCCTCCTGACTACAAGCTGCATATATAAGGACTCACAGGTCTCATTCTCTGCTATGGTTCTGCCTAACATCGTGCCCGGTACACGGTAGGCACCTAATTTTTTATGGATGGATGAATGGATGGACAGAGGGAGGGAGGAGAGAAAGAGGGACAAACTAAATATTTTTTAAAGGTATTTTCTAACACTCTACTAAAACCACAAAAATTAAGGGAATCAAAACACTGCAGACATGAATATATGAATAACTTATACTACCACCTAGTGGAGAGAATTATTAACATCACAATATATACTTAATTATTTTATCTCAGAACAGTCAATAAGATTTCCTATCTGCTTCATCAGTGCAGATTATTCTCACACTTATTAATGCTACACAATAATGCGAATGCCACCTGAAACCACATATACTCAGACATACCTGGCCATTCCAAAATCAGACACCTTCACAACTCCCGCCTCATTTACTAGACAATTTCTGGCAGCCTGGAAAACATTATGATGGAATATTAGTTAAAAAGTTCCACAATATAATTGGAAAAATATAAGTTATTTATATTAAATTTAGTATGACCCAGTCAACATTTGCAGAGGGTAGAAATGTTTCCTTATAAGTTGTTTTCACCCCTATGGAAGTGTCTCCGTTGTATATTTGAAAGAATGGACAGAAAGTCGTTTTTGCAATAAGGCATTAATACATAATTTCTACCAATTGTCAGACCTAAATAAGGACTAATACAAGGGTCAACCTATTTTTCTGCCTCCCAAGCCTGTTCTTATTAAACTATCTGATTTTCTTATTGTCAGTGACAACATCTCTTGAAGTCCTTAATCCAGGTTCTCACTAGGCGAGCATAACAACACACAACAATCACAGTGATGAGTGACCAAACTCTTAATCAATGGTACTGCTCGGTGATTGGCCATCTCCACTCGAAACAGTCAAAGAACAGCTATTTCTATTAATAGCATCTCATAACATGATATACTAAATTGGTCAGATGCAATGGATTATTTGATTTCTAGTTTCTTGCCCATTCTTCAAGATAGCAAGGTTCGAGAAAATAGTTTGGTAGGGAGACATGATATTTCTTAGAGGGAAGGCATGATATTTTTAATACCATAACCCACGGGCCAAGATGTGTTTTTCTTCCTGACTATTCAGAATTTTATTTTATCTATGTGGCAATTCTACTTATACAAGGTTCCTTCCTGTTGAATGCATTTTAAGAGTCTTTTCTAAAATGAGAGCTAAGGAAGGCCTGTTCCCTAAACTGCCTCCGTCTTCCCATGAAGACACTCCACAATGCCTGCACTTGATAGTAAAAAGGATTCTTCGCCCAGGAGACAGAAGCACTAGAATCTTCCCTTAAGGCATAACTGAAACCTACCATAGTAATATAAATATCACAGGCACAAAAGTATAAAGCATGGCTTTCACTAGGATTTCTGTGTGTAGGTACAGTCTGTCACATTGAGGTACACGTTCAACTTTTATTTGTTTTGTGAGTACAAAAAAGAGGAAGGTGCTTAGTTCACGAGTTTCAACATGACAGATGTTCTTTGTCATCACCAACATAATGGTAACAATAACTGATGTTACATATAGCGTGTCTATTTTACAAAGCCCTTTGTCCCAATCATATAATGTGATCTTTAAAAAAGTTCTGTGAGCAAAACAATATTATAACCAACAATTTACAGATGTGGAAACAGAGTCTAAGAGAAATTAGGTAACTATCCCAAATCACACCTAGGAAATCAAATCTTCCATCTCTAAATCTTCAACTCTATCATGCATTAAATCTGAAGATAGCATAGCACAGTAGTTAAGTTTGGGCTCTAGAGCCAAACTCACTGGGTTCAAATCCTGGCTCTACAATATACTTGACCATTAGTAAGTTATTTTATCCTATTTTCGCCTCAGTTACCTCATCTGTAAAAAAGGGAATAATAATAGTACCTACTTCCTAGAATTGTTATGATTACAAAATGAGTTTATATTTGTAAAATACTTATTAGAACAAGGCCTGTTTAAGATAATTGCTCACTTTAAAAAATGCTTTGCTGCTACTCTAGAAGAAATGTGTCCACACTTTATCACAAAAAAGCTAATAAATCTAAAGTATGGAACAAAGTCCCAAACGAGAATTACATTCTTCTTGGCGAAAGAATCACCTTCAGGACTTACAGGGAGTAAGAGTGCTACTGACAGGCTGAAAATAGACACATTTGTAAAGAATAGGTGGAGAAGAAAAACAGAAGGAAAAGAAGAATGGAGGAGAGAGGGAGAAAGAGAGAAGAAAAATGAAGTATCTTCATCATAATCATTGAGAACCAGTAACAGATTTCTTTTTCTCATATTCTCAGAAGTTAACATGGCCAGGCACGATGGCTCATGCCTATAATTCTAGCACTTTGGGATTACAGGGGGAGGATCATTGAGGTCAGGAGTTTGAGACCAGCCTGAGCAAGAGCAAGAGCCCCTCCACCCCCATCTCTACAAAAAGTAGAAAAATTAGCCGGGTGTGGTGGCACATGCCTATAGTCCCAGCTACTTGGGAGGCTGAGACAGGAGGATCGCTTGATCTCAGGAATTTGAGGTTGCTGTGAGCGATGATGATGCCACGGCACTCTAGCCCGGACAACAGAGCAAAACTCTGTCTCAAAAAAAAAGTTAACATGAGCTTCCATGTTTTCCCAGTGATTTGGAGATAAAGAAAATGAACCAAAGGATTTCTCTTACAGTTTCTGTTTATGATATGTGAGGTGGAAAACAGCTTGGGATTTAGTAAGGTCAAGGCCGACCCTAACTTCCTTATCATATCAGGTAAGCAGTTTCACTTCCCTGAAACTAATTTTCTTACCTATGAACCAGTGATGGTAATAAAATCTGTTATCAGTAGCCAGCTCATGGGATTCTTACAGAGATCAAATAATCAACGCACGGAAGCGTGCTTAGAGATATGAACTGTGTAAATTATTAGATTTAATAAAGATCTTTCCTTCAAAGTTATGGGGCAAGGTAAATTTGCCAAATTTAAAAATAATGGTGCAACATTGCTAAGAACAAAAACTGGGTATCAATACATCATTGCTCATTTGCTGACCCAGGGTTACAAAGGAATTCGGCCAAGGAACAGGAAGACAGGCGAGTTGAGGTTACCAGGTCTCTGTGGATGAAGCCGTTTCTCTCCAGGTACTCCATCCCTTCACACACGTCCTGACACATGCTCAGCAGCACGTCTCTACTGAAATGACCTTGTCTCTGTCGGAGGAAATTCAGAAGGCAGCCCCTCTCCATGAACTCGGTCACAATGTAGATCGGTTTCTGCTGGGTGCACACACCATAAAGCTGCACTAACTTCGGGTGTGTCAGTTTCCTGGGAAGGGAGACGCACATACTTATCATTACTATAGGAAGAGACTCTACCAGGTTTTGGTGAGGGACCACTTTTCTAATACAAAAAGGTGAGCCGGAAAGAAGACAGCAACTTACATCATCACTTTAGCTTCCTCTATAAAGTCCTCCTCGCACATCGCACCTTCCCTGATCGCCTTGATCGCGACCTTGTACTGGGCCCGCCACTTGCCGAGCCTCACCACCCCGAACAGGCCGCTTCCCAGTTCCCTCATGAATGTCAGCTCGGAAGGGTTAATCTCCCATTTCTCTGTAAGACAGGAAGGGGAAGTGTTAACGTGTAATCTGGAGAACAGCATGAATCAGTGGGGGAAAAAAGAAACTTTAACCAGGTCAACCTCAAAGTTACAGGATAATACTGTCACAATTACTAGTAAAATACAGAACAGACTCATAAGCTGCATCTAAACTGCAAAAGGTGGCTTTCAGCCTTCTGGGAAGGATGTGCCCCTTCTAAGCTGTCACGATACAAGCAAAGTGAACTGAAGACAAGAAGAAGATGCTGCAAGATAGGCTAAGAATAATAAAGCTTGAAAGTTAATGTATTTTCTTAAAACAAATACATCTTCCTTTACCACTCTTCCCCCTTGGGTTTTGTTCTCCCCCAACTCCATCAAGTTGGAAAGAATTTAACCCGCTGTTTTAAGGGCTTCTGCCAGAAGCAACAGAGATGATCAAGTGGGAAGTCTTCCCTGCAACCTCCACCGTTAACACATTCCCGTGAGTAGAAAGCACAGCTGGTGAGAAGGAGGAAGGGCTCTGATCAATTTTAGATGTAACATAATTTTTATTTTTCATTGACAGAAAGTTTTCTACTGAATTATGAATAACGATGAAAAGAGAAAACCTAGGATTATGACAGCTATAAATATTATCATCTAAAAACCCATACTATAAACTTAACAGAAACAGCTCTGCTATGTGGAATTCTACACACCCAAATTTGTCTTGTGACAATGGATTCTTTTCAAGGAAAATTAGCTAAAAGCAACTAGAAAATGAGAGTTACCGTAGCTGAATCCTGCAGTGGTTGGTGCATTCTTCCCCTTTGCGCTAACTGGGTACCGCAGCCTTGTCACAAGTCCTAGTAATCAAAGAAAGTACTGCAGTCAAATCCATTCATAATCATTCTATGGTCAAATGCTAAACTAGAAACTCGCTTATAAGATTCATTCGCTTTCTCATTTACTACTCATTCTCTGTGTGTACATACAGCACTGTGCTATATGCTTTTATTCATTCAAGATTTTCTTTTCTTTTCTCTTTTTTTTTTTTTGAGGAGAAGGAAAGAGAAGTTTATTAATTTGCAGGCAAATGAGGAGGGTGGCAGACTCCCATCTCAAAGTACCAACATCCTGCTTCTGAGCAGAACTACAGAGTTTTTAAAGGTTGTGATCAATCCCACTTTCGGCTAAGACAATCTCGTGACCTCCACCTGGATTAATCCTGTCTTTGGCTAAGATGATCTCATGACCCCCACCCAAATTAATCCCATGTTTGGCTAAAATGATCTCATGACCTCCTCCCGGATTAATCCCATCTCCTGTGGCACAAAGAACAAAGGATACTTCCAACCCCTCCCGACCTCTGGTCTGAGGCAGGGGTGCAGGTCCTAGTTCTCCAAAAGTAGTGGTATGTTTTAGAGAGACATAAAACATTTTTGCCATTTATTTCAAGCCATTTCTTCTGTTACATATTCCCCCCGTCAATATTACCCTTCTATATCTATGCGAGGAGGGACGACATAGTCATTGAGCTACTTCCTGCTGAATTGGGGCAATGTTTTAGATGGAAGGTTTATACTTATGTATGGCATTGCACAACTTTGGCAGTATATTTACACAACAGATTACCAGGCAGAAAAAATATCATAAGCAGTAATTATAACAGGGAGGATAGACAAGGAAAAATAGACTGTCGCTTTGCACACAATATCTGATACAGGACTGGGTTAGAAAAGAAACATGGGACCTCTGAGTGTAGAGTTGTGCCCTGTGGGTGATCCAAGAGACCAGCTTCTGCAAATTCAGAAATCACATACAGCACTGAACAAGGTTTAGGACAACGAACCCAGCAGTATGACAGATTAACAGAAGAGGTCACAGTCCAGAGAAACCCTCACTGTGAAGCTGTCTCTCCATCCTCTGTTACAAAGGAGGGTCCATTATCATTCTTGCAAAATGTCCAGGGCTCATTCCATGGAGTGTGTGCTCCTGGGTCCTGTTGATGGGGTGTCTGTTGATGTCCTCGCTGTAGGAAGAGGAGCCGCTGAGCCATCTCTGTAGTTGTCTGTCCACGGCCTCCATCATCAGCATGTTATTTTTCATTTGCTTGGCCTCTTTCCCTGGACTGGTGATGTCTGTCATCCCGTCGTCCTCTGACACCTATTTCTATACATGTGCAGGAACTCAGAGAAAGCCCTGTTAGCAATTTTTGGTAGACCAAGAGGGGAATGGAGTTTGCTGCTGCTTCTTTTTCCATAAGTGGACAATGCAATCAGAGAGCATTCTCAGGCGGGACCTGAAGATGGAGCTGTTGCTTCTCTGGAGAAAAGGTCACTTGAGCATTTAACTTGCATAACAAGTCTGGGAAGAGGTATTGAACATTCTGGCATGTACAAGAAACTGTCTCAGCTTTTGTTCTCCCCGTTGGCACTCAAGAGGAAGGAGCATGGGTCGTTGCTGGGTCTGACCAGTAACCCCAACCACTGCCACCATGTCTGCGCTAAGGGAAGCTGGTTTAGAGTTTAGGACAGAAAAGGTAGCCCCTTATATAGTGTCAATATAAAAAATCCACTAATCTAGTCCCCACTGTCAATCTTACCCAGAGCTCCTGTGGGGACATTTGAATCGGAGCCCTTAGTGAGGCGTGGAGCCCCAGGCCCCTTTATTCATCATCCGAGTCCCGGGCTCGAAAGATCATTTGCCCCCCTGGAATATTATTACTATTATTATTATTATTACCTAGAGCCCTTTATAGCTTTGGGCAGTGCTCTCTCCAAAGTCCCTCCTGTTTGCAGAAAGCACACTGATGCACTCCACCCTCGGGAGGCTCTTCCTGCCCTTTTTTTGACTGTCTCAAAGGACCCTTGGTTGGTGCAGCTCACAGGACACACGTGGGTTTCAGTTTCTGTTCTTCCCTTGTGTTACATACTTTACAGGCGGTATCAACCAGTTGTGAGGGATTCATGTCAATTGCTCCCTCCATACGTTGCAGCTTCTTCTTTATAGCGGGGCTCTCTGCCCTATAAAAGTCACATTAACCACGCACATGTGTTTAAGGGCTTCTGGATCCACGTCTGTATATTTCCAATATGCCCGATAGATGTGTTCCAAAAATTCAGAGGGAACTCCTGGACCCTATTTAAACTCCCTTGTCTGGGCGCTCCCCTGCAGAGGCCTGCCAAAATACACTTTCGGTAACGATTTATTCTCACACTGTCGGTGTCAGTGTCAGGATCCTAATTTGGTTCTGCCATTGAATGGCAGCACTGGGGTCTGGGGTCTGATTAGGATCCTTGCCATGGAGAGGCTGCATCCCCTCCTTGGCCTCGTCCATCACTAGCCTACGCTCGTTTGTAGTAAGTAATATTACATCCACCCAAGTGGGACGGTGCGTCACAAAGATGGTTGTAAACAACTCATTCTCTGAGGGTCCTTTCTATAGGTTGGGTCTGAGTTTTTCCAATTCAATAAATCCGAGGTAGAAAAGGGGATGAGTCTAATAATACCCCGTTGGCTGTCCTTAAGCATTCAAGCCTCCTGTGGGGTACTGCCACAGTGGAAACCACCCTGCTCCGGCTACGGGCACCCTCTGGCCAAATTCGGTTTCCTGCTGGGTAAGGAGAGACCATTCCCCACCCCGAGTCATAAGCTAAATGGGCATGGGATTGAAGAATTAGTTCAGGCAGTGCCCTCCCAGCCCCTCCCATGGTGCCAAGATGGCAGCCACGCAGGCATTCCTTCCCCCTTGCTGCATGCCACGTGGCCGTGAGCCGCCTGCACCAGTCCTCTCTCCCACCAGGTCTGCTCCCGGGCTGCCTCTTCCCCAGGCTGACTGCAGGGTTCCGGCCGGGGTGGTAGAACCTCATTTATCAAAAATCACGCAAACACAGATTATCTTGTACACCGTAAACAATGAGTTTATCTCAAGCAGAGAGCTTGAGACTCAGTATTTTAATTCTATCATGGCAGGTTGACCATTTGAGCTCTGAATTTTAAAAGAACCAACAGCTCAGAATAAACCACAGACCATCAACCACCACTTTTCCTCACACTCCATATAAGTGGTATCACAATAATCTTTAGACATAAGTACAAAAACTTACCAGACAAAAACTCACAAGCAATCAAACACAAACAATATAGGGAATTTCCAACACTAAAGAATCCAAAATGCCACGGCCTATCAATCAAATGGGAATTTTCATTTAACAGCCACTTCCCCCGACACTCCAGCACAGTGGACTACAGTAACACTATTCTCTTTACACATGGGTTCATAACCATTCGCCAAAGTTTTTCCCAAGGAACTTTGAGATGGTGCTTCCTTATGTTGCAACAAAACTCACAAATAACAAACAGACAATACGGAGGATACAAAAATGCCAAGGCCTATCAAACCAATAGGAGTCCACTGAGGAAAAACGTCACCCAAATGGCACCTCAGCGGTGCCTCAAATGCCCTACCATAGGGCTGGAAGGTTCAAAATGGGAATCCAAAGGGGATAAATGCCACCCCAAATGACTGGAAGGTTCAAAAGCCTCCCCAAATGGGTGGCCTAATCCCCCCGTTCCCTGGGAAACCCTTCACAACTGGTAGCCTAGTCCCCCATTCCCTGGGAACTGCAAATGAGCTCTGAATTCAAACCAGGTTTCCTAGTTCTACTCAACCTCATGACTTCCACCCCCAAAAGGTGCTTCAAAACAAATGCCTTGATAGGGCTCCAAACAAATGCCCTGCCTCAGGCCAGAGGGTTCAAAATCCTCCCTAAACGGATGGAATCAGGGTCTCAGCATGCATGCTGGGGAACTTACCAAATGGCCAAGGCTGTCAGGATATTTCTATATCCATTTCCTTCTCCTCAACTCAGTTCACGTTGTGGGGAGCTGGATCTACTTCGCGGAGACAGAGACAGGAGTTTTCCGGAGCTAAAACAGGCTCCGGCAGCTGCTGGGACCATCCCTTGCTCTCTCACCTTGAAAAGAAGTGGCTTCTACCCGTGAAGACCCATGGCTTTGACCCGGGGCTGCTCCCTGACTCTTCCAGCAGTTATGGGGTACCATTCCACCGGGGCACCGATGGGCCCACCCAGGGATGTCAAATTGTTACTAAAAGTTTGTCACTTGTCCCTGAAGCCACATCAGAAAAATGAGGATGAGTGGTTTGAGGAGAAGGAAAGAGAAGTTTATTAATTTGCCAGCAAATGAGGAGATTAGCAGGCTCCCGTCTCAAAGTACTAACGTCCTCAACATTTTCTTTTAAATACTACAATGTTTATCAGGTACCATGCTAGCTTTCTCTTTTCTCTCAATCTCTAAGATCTCAACAACTGGGAATATCAACTACTGGAAATCAATGAGGTAAGTTAAATCCTTAAACTTAAGCTGTTTACAGCACTAAATAAGTAACAGGAGATGCCTCTTCTATAAACACCCAGAACACCCTATATTTCCTCTATGGCAGCATATCTCATAATAATTTAAAATTGTTATGTACTTCTCTGTCTCCCCACAAGTGGTAAGATTGGAAGAATCAGGATCAATGACTATACCTAGTCCACTGCAGTCTCCCCAAAACCTGGTTTAGTTCCTAGCATGCAGCAGGCACTTAAATCATGTTTGTTCAATGAATTGAGATAGTGGTGAAGAATAAAACTTATACAAAAAACACGAAAGAAAAAAATACATGAATGTAAACACTAAAAAATAAAATAACAAAATAGGAGATGTGAAAAAGTTCTTTGGGAATAAACTGATATGAAATCAGTTCCTCAAAGGTTAAATACAGAGTCACCATATGACCCAGCATACCCCCAACTAGGTAAATACCCAAGGGAAATGAAAACACATTTCCACGCAAAACTTTGTACACAATTGTTCAAGGCTTCATTATTCATAAGCTCCTAAATGTGGAAACAACCCAAATGTCCATCAACTGATGAACAATAAACAAAATGGATAAACAAAATCTATATGATAATGATTATTCATCAATTAAAAGGAATGACTATCTTATCCAGAAAATTTCCTGAACTTAGAAATTCCATCTTCCCAAGACTTCTTTCCTAGGACATATTAGACTTAAGCAGAGTACACAAACCAATTACTAATAATGCGTTCAGAAAGTCTATCATAGCAAAAACTATTACTGGGGATTTACACTGTCTAGAATCTCTCGTGATAACTTCAGCAATTATATTCCTTAACATCATTATGTCTATAGTTTGCATATACCCAGGCTATGCCTAGGTTTCCATA